CGCCTGCATGACCGAAGGCAGATTGGCATAAATGGGAAGGATGAGTAGCTCCGCTTGACGCGATCCTGGAGCATCTCCTGGCAGGCTTCGATTTCCTCTTGTCCTGGAACGAAAAAAAAATGTAATTTTTTAACATCGCATAGAAATAGACCCACTTACCAGTTAAAAATACAAGAATGTCTCCAAGAGGCTGAGTGGCATGAATCTGTAGAACCGACACCACACATGCATCGGTATAATCTGCTTCCGGTGCTTTGGTGTAGAAGACATCAACCTAGAAGAGAAAAAGTTAGATTTTACAGCAAAACACAAAGCAAGTCAAATCTAACTACGTACCGGAAAACGACGACCAGGAATACGGAATATGTTCGCATCATCGAAGAAATCCGAAAACTTTTCCGCATCCAACGTGGCACTGGAAATCAGTAGTTTCAAATCCAATCGAAACCGCGCAATGTCCTTCACCAATCCAAACAGAATGTCCGTGTGCAACGTACGCTCGTGAGCTTCATCGATAATCATCACACTATACGAAGCTAGGTCCGGTTCCGAAAGAAACTCCCTGTGCAACGTACCATCTGTCATGTATTTAATGACAGTCCGCTCGGATGTGCAATCCTCGAAACGAATACTATAACCAACTTCGTTGCCCAACTTGACGCCCATTTCCTGTGCAACACGTGCCGCCACGGACATCGCTGCCACGCGACGAGGCTGAGTACATCCAATCTTCTTGCCGTCGTTTGTAAACCCAGCTTCATTGAGATACTGTGAAATCTGTGTCGTTTTTCCCGAACCCGTTTCTCCTTCGATAATAAGAATCTGGTGTTCTTTTATAGCGGCTATGAGATCCTCCTTGAATGGAAAAACTGGAAGTGATTTCTTCGTTTCCTCAATGTCCATCTTCTTCCTTTCCGCCTCAGATACCGGTGCTTTCCGGTCCTTTTCTTTAGTTCCATCCAGTCGGAGTGCCTGGACGAAATCAATCTGATCATCCAACAGCAGTTCATTGGCGTTGACGGCACCGTCGAAAAATTTACTCTTTCAGCAAATATAGACAGTTTCTTATAGGAATTTTCGGTGGAGTGAAAGGATAGTACAAAGTCCGCCATGTTTCACGCACAGTCTGACGTTTGCTTATGGATTTTCTCATAGGAGTAAAGAGCTACAGAGTCGCCGTCAACGCCAATACTCTTCAGCACCAGCACCACTTGCGAACCTCTTCGTTTTTGAAAGTAAATTTCACGCACAGTCTGACGTTTGCTTACGGATTTTACCATAAGAGTAAAGAGCTATAGATTCGCCGTCAAGGCCAATAGCATCAACTATATACTTTAAGCTAGTACATATGAGTAGATAGTGTTGCCGTGAGGTACACTGAAAAATTGAAATAGCAGGTTAGTCACCAAAGTTTTCGAGCCGCTCCGTCTGTCACTTCGTTTGTGCTATTACAATGAGATATACATGTTTTCCTATACTGCAAAGTTAAATGACAGTCCAATAGTTTCTACATGTCTGCTTACACGCGACATATCAACAAACGTCAAAAATCATTAAAAGCAACTCCAATAAAATATACATCATTATCTTATAAGATATATATTTTAGTGAGCAATATTCATCATGAAAACAGCTATATTTTACTGAATTTTCTCATAGTGCAAACTTATATGATTTTCCATTAGTTTCTAGATGTCTGTTCCCACCCATGACATATCAACAGTTTTTCACCATGAAATATATCAGACAATATTCATATACTTCTTACCTTCGCTAACCACGTTCGAAGCAAAGTATTATCAAGTACTAAGTATGTGAAATTACGATAGAAATCATTCCATATCGCAGTCATAGTTTTTAAGTGATAATCCAATGGAATCTATCAATCATCACATAGAATGAATAAATATGCTGACATTGCTATGTTATAAGATGGATCCAATAAACGGTACATGTCGATTTGTTTCAGTGTACTGGACTGTACTAGCATTTTCACCAAATGTATTAGAATGTTTTGGTTTTATCTCTTTCACTCTACTCAAAACTGAAATGCATAACAAATGATAAAATGATACACTTTGCACACTGTCAAAGAATCATTGTACACAAAATCAACTTTGTTCAAATCAAAACAAAAAAACTAACCCATCTGGTGGATGATGGCACAAGCTTCCAAGAAAATTCCATTACAGTGAACCACATTATTTTAATGGATTTCTTCGCCAGTTAGTCGTCTGTCACTTCGTTTGTGGTACTGTCGTTCAAGTTGGACATCGGAAAATCCCACACGCGACATTCGATTTTACCATCGTTCTGTACGTTAAACATAACGTCGGACATAGTGCGCTGAATAGCGCATCATTGTGTGAATACAGCGCACTATGTCCGACGTTATGTTTAACGTACAGAACGAGAGTAAATTCAATTGGCGCGTGTGGGATTTTCCGGTTTTCTACTGAAACGATAATATTACCATAGAGGTAACTCTAAGACTACCCTAATAAAATTGTTATGGTTATTTTGCTTAACGACGTGTTCTGGGTATCTTCCAAACCATTTGTGGAAAAGTTCAATTATTTGGGTTATCGTTCGTTTATGGTTATTTTTTATTAGGGTAGAAGGTCCCGAAATAACGTGCTCAACTTTTTGGCACAGCTCTGGTACTCTCTTCGGTCCCAAGCTTGTCGAATCACCCCTCGAAACATAGGAAAAACCAATAACCCCTCATTTTATCTGTCAAATTTTCATAGCGAATCAAAACAAACATTGCGTAGGACTAGAATTTCGACTAGAATAGGGTACGTTAATCGTTTGCTTGGGACCAATAGGCTACTAAAGTATAGTCGCTATATTCATAGTCTGGCGGATAGAATCTCGGGAACCAATTAAACTGTCAAATAGCGGAACCAATCGAGCAAATCTCGACCAACAACAGAAAAGAGCACATCAGCTGTTGCGAACGAAACTTCGGAAACCCTTTTCTCGTGATTCAAGGCTCGCCTACGCAAACAAACACCATCTTTAGGTTGTGGAAAGTTTCCCCTATCCGATGAAGCTGGTAATTTAACTTCGATTGGCGAGGGAAGAATAATCCACGTTTTGTTTTTAAAAGTTGATAGTACCTTTTTAATTGTTGGTCTACAATATATTGAATTGGTTCCGCTTTTTAATAGATCGAAATTCTATCCGCCAGACTATGAATATAGCGACTATATACTAAAGTGGTGAGCCAATTTAAAATCGTTAGTTTCGTATTGATTGTTGGTATTACTCTTCATTCTCATTTTGTTTCAGTGTTGCTACTGGACATTCCTACCCCTCACAGCGGTTGTCTTTCGCGCGCAACACACATGTCCCACAAACAAAAAATGGAATCTGTCAAACGTGCTTGTGTGCAGCGCTGCCATTTATACAGATTTATCTGTATTATACAGATTTTTTAATCTTAATACAGACCCGATACAGAATACAGATTTATCACAGATTTTTGAATTACAATACAGATTTATACAGATTTTTATAAAATGCTTGAGAAAAAAAAAATTCAAAATTTATAAAAACAAAATAACTTGATCGATTTTATCAGCGTACCCCCTTCTCTCCAAAATTAATTGTTGTGCTAAAAACCATATATTTTGCAGTGGGATCTGCTCGAGGCGTTGCTGTTTCTTTTATGCTTCTCTCACTCCTTCCAACGGAAAACGCAGTCACGCCCGATTCCACTGTGCGTTTATATAGCTGCCTTTTAATAACTCATGATGACATCAAAATTTGATGTATTTTTATTTTGTTTTTTCGGCATGCATGCAATAACATGTTGATAACTAAATTTGTAATCTAAATAAAATATCTATATCAAAATAAGTTATCAAGCAGTTCTCACTAATATCAATATATGTTATAATTTTGATATTCTTCGCATATCTTTTAGCTCTCATTTTTGTTCTGTTAGCCATCAACTCCATCAAAATGAAATCAATTTGAGTTATCAGGAATAATGAAAACAACATAATTCTTGTTTTCATTTTGTTCTCACCCTCTGCTCGGGAACCTATCAAATTTCCATCGACAATTAATCATGTTATGGTGTTTTTGACAGCATTCACAACCAGAGGACCAACCGCTTTCGGATGCATATGGAGCTGGTAGTAAACGATTTGAGATTGTATGGGGATTTACAGTATTAATTTAATATTTCCAATATAAGCATGTATGTTAAATACAAGAAAAGTGCCCAAGCACATTAAAATGGTACAAGTACTCGTAAACATTTTACTTGCATTAAAAATGTATTTCGTAAGAAATTGCGGATTTTCTGATATTCTCCATACTGCAAAAATGATTTTACCAGCACTGGCGGGGCGACATCTCTCGATTTTTTGGTGTAACTACCACACAAATGATGTAATTAATTGTATTCATCTATATTAAAAATATCAAATAGTAATGAACTCGTGCACTTTTTTCCATTTAAAACTGCTTATCAGGAAGATAATGAATAGAAACTAAAATCTCCATACATTTTCAAACGGCTTCATATCACTCTTATAAATAAGTACGGACGATATCACAAATGGCGCAATTATATCTCGTATGGTTAGTACGATAGCCCGAATAGGTGGTTAAGCACTTTTTATGGTTATTTTGTATGCACTGTACACAGCAAAAAAAAATGTAATATCGATCAACGTAATTCAAGCTGATGTATGAAATAATGATGTAATAGCAAAAAGCAGATACCATATTACATCAATGGATGTAATTTTGTTCGCAAAATCGATGTACATCGTACAATGTGATATTACACAACCGATGGATTGACCTGGTTGCAGCAGTTTCGATGTAATATTCAACAACTTTTTTTGCTGTGTATGTGTAAAACAACAAAACATGATTAATTAAGAAAAAAATCGTCAATACAGAAAATACAGATTTTTTAATAGAGTGGATACAGATTTTTTATAAAACCACCTGGCAGCTCTGCTTGTGTGTCTGCTCAGTTTTGTTAAACGCAGGTCGAAATAGTTTACTGTGAAATTTTGTGAAAAAGTAGTAAAAATAGTGCATAATAATTTAATATTTGAACATATTCTGCGAAGCATCCGTTAGTGTGCAAAATTCTTCAGATATGGATGCCTCCTTGGAGAAATCCTGCCTGGAAGAAATCAGCCACACTGTCCTAGACTCACAACAGAAGGTTTGTTGGTTCTCTAAATTTAAAACCATTTGCAGTGAATCGGACGCTTTGTATTTCTAGATTTCAGTTCGTTCAATATCGAACAACTATGGCTTGAACTTCCTAGATGCAGTCAAGATTCTGCAGCAATGGCTCGACAAGAACGGCACGAAAGCCAATCTTGTCAAGGAGTTTATCGTCCGGGGCTTCGATCCCAAACAGGGTGGCGCCTTTATAACCGTAGTCAACGAGAAGAAGCTAAAGGTCGTTCAGTCCAAGGTTAGCCGGATATCGAGCGTTCTTTATGCCGTGGAAGTGGCAGCGGAATCCTCCCGGAAGTTGGTCATTCCCGAAGAGCAGGAGTTTAGCGTGTAAGTTTTTTTTGGGATTAAAATTGTGTGTTGGAACTTGTTTCAATTGCTTGCTTTGATTTGAACAGGATCAATCTTCCTTTGCGATCGGACAAACGGGACGTACACGTCTTCACACCAGCCGCGAATCCACCTCCAGCCGCCGCCGCTGCCGTCAAGCAAGAATCGAAATCAAAAATTAAATCTATGTTTGCAGCCGGTGCTTCTAAACCGAAGCAGGAATCTCCGAAACCGGATACGGTTAAGGAGGAAAAGCAGAGCCCTCCCGCGGCAACAGGAAAGAAAGATACAGCCAAGGCTACTTCTCCTCAGAAATCGCCCAGTAAGGGTTCACCCAGCAAGAAGAAGGATGCCAAGAAAGCCGTCAGTGGCAAAGCTTCCATAGCATCGTTCTTTTCTAACAAACCGGGTGCCTCCAAGCCAATGCCGGTTGCTTCTGCCGGTTCTTCTGCGGCAGTGGAAGTGAAGAAAGAGAAGGAATCTCCCAAGGAGGCTAAGGAGCCTAAAAAGGAAGAGAGAATGACCAACGGGAAGCGTGAGGACACCCCCCGTTGGAAGCGAATGATTTCCGATGAATCGGACGGAGACGACGTGATCCCGAACACGCCACAGGCAAAGAAGGAACCGGCAAAGAAGGGCGGTAGAAAGACGCTGGCATTGAAGAAGAAAGGAACTAGCAAGGCAAATCCCAGCAAGAGATCCAGGATTTTGCAGGTTGTAGATTCCAGCGAGGAGGAGGAGGAGGAAGAGGACGAAACTCGGAATCTCAGCGAACCGGAGGAGAGGCTGATTAAGTTTGATGTTGATGAATCGGAGGATGCGGAGATGAAGGACGATGAAGATGCAGAGGAGAAGAAAAAGAAGGAGCAACAGCTGAGCCCGGAAAAACCAGTGGAGAATGATTCCAACAGTTTGAATCGAAAGAGAGCGAAGGTTAAGAAGTTGGTCACCAAAAACTATATGGATGAGGAAGGCTATATGAGTGAGTATTAGTAGAAGTTAGCAAATTAGAAAACGTGCCAACACAATCATTTTCAGCCACCATCAAGAATTACGTAATGGTGTCCGCATCCGAGGATGAAGACGACGGAGATGCGTCGAACAATAACACAGCGGAAGGAAAGAAGGCAACTGCCGAGGAGGAGCCCGTTGCGAGCGGAGGTGGTGATAAGAATAGTACCTCGAATGCTAAACCGGCGAATAAGAAACCGAGTAAGGTAACTCCGCCGACTCCCAAAACCAAGCAGGGGTCGATCATGAGCTTCTTTTCCAAGAAGTAGTATTATTGTAGAAGTCAGGGCGGTACAGTTTTCTATTGTCTTATTAAATTGCAGTTGTTCGTTCTAGTAATAGGAAGCTGATTATTGTTTTGAGAAATCCAAGTTACGTTCTTGTTGGGTTACGAGTTGGTTTCAAGGGTTTCTGCGTTGCTCGTGGTTATTGTTTTTGGTAAGCTGGCATAACAGCAGCTGCATCACGTACATAGCAAAATTCTATGGTCGGACTTGAGTAAGCAAACTAACGTCGGAACAGTTAGTCTCTGTGCAAGTCAAATGAAGGGTCACCTCACCCTAGGTGACAGTTGTCACCTCACCTAATACGCCGCGCAGAATAGGCCTACGTATCTGCTGTCGAGTGTCGAATTGGTTTTCTGCTTAGCATTCTGGTTCTTGCTGTGCTCTACTTATCATGTGGGAGTCTATTAATAGAGTATAATCGATGCCGAACATGTTCCAGTGCTCCTCGTAGTCTGCGAAGGGTCCGCAGGTCGCCTTCTACTTGGTCGATCCACCTCTCACGACGTGCCCAGCCCACCGTAGTCGCCCAATTTTTGCAATGTGCACGATGGACACACTTAGTTTTTTCTACCGAGCTCGGCTGTGCAAATCTCGGCAAAAACAAGTTTCACTGAGATCTCAGCAAAAGAGACATTTGATTGCTGAGTCTCGGATAATGCTTAGCTGAATCTCAGCAAACAAATGAAATGTTTGCTGAGATCTCAGTAAAACTTGTTTTTGGTCAAATGCTAAACTGACTGCCGCACGTCTCGATCTATGTTTCTGTCCGAACTTGGACGTCTGGTCTCTGTCCTCCCCATGGACATGGAGGTTGACGGTACTGAAGCAAAGGGTTATGTTTAATTTCTTTATATTTGCAACGATGATGATTTCCTATAGTGACACATATCACCTTCTTAATGCTTCAGTATACCTCAAACGATTAATTCTTGGTTGTTAATAGAACTTCCTTGATGCAATCGGCTGCTTCATGCAGACTGAAAAATTCTGATTATAGTATCAGATTTGTTCTGTATACAGAGGAACTGGGAAACTTCTCACCAATAAAGTAATGACCTTCTAGTAAATTTTGCATATCATTTTATTAATATTTTACTTTATTTAAGCATATTATTTTTGTTACAGTCAATTAGCATTAGCATACAATACAAGAGATTTAATATTACTTGCTCGGTTTTGCGTAAAATAATCAATATGTATTTTGCTTGTAATTACCTTTGAATTGTTTTTTGTGATTTCAAAATTTTCCTAGTTTGGTTAGAAGTTTCGAAGCTAACACATGTCCACAGGCCTAATAGAAAGATAGACAGACAAAGCGTATCATGAAGAATAGTTGCATGCAGGGTTGCTTCCACTCACTTTCTATAGATGAGTGATTTTCGGAGTTTTAAATTCGTTAGATGTTGTAATGGAGGTTTGTGTTGTTGGATGCGGGAGGAGATTGGAGGGCGGGTGTTTAACGCATAGAGCCTGTCAATTTCGCTTTCAGAGTGTCGCAGTCGGCGGTTATATGATTCGTGAGCGCTCGCGATTCGTAGAATCGTTGATTGTGACTGCCAGTGGATTTGGCGGGTTTTGTGTGTCGGACGCTTGCTTTTTGGCCTTTTCTTGTGTCTAACATGTGCAGAGTATCATTATAGCGTCTAATGGTTTTGAGATTCCTGGTTGCGTGAAATATACTTGTGAGAATATCTTTTTGAGATTTTAGTAGTCACGTTTTGTTTGTAGTTTATATGTTATTTCTTTCATGTAATTATCGTAAATAATAGTTATTCAATAATAGATAATTCATCCATATTTGTTTATTTGTTTATTTGTTATGGTTGCATCAACAGACTAGAAATAGTCCCAATGACGTGTTGTAAAAAAGTACAGATTATACAGACGATATACATATACTACAGTTACTACAGTTACAAACGAAAATAACTTGGAAAGCATTGTCATGTTACTAAAAATTTATAAGTCTTAAATTTTACACTTAGCTGTTGGGTATCAAGCGCCTTCGGTCAGCAAAAAAGGCAGAGAATCTTCGGTGAAGCATATTCCGTGTCAAGTGGAAATCGAACATCGACGCTACTCGGTTGAACACTAGCTGCAAGCCGTAAATAGCGCTCCCTATGCTATAATTAGTTCGAAGAAGTGGAAGTCTCAGCATAAGACTGTTGCGTAGTGATCGAGGTTGAACATTAATGTTCACTTGTTGCAGAATTGCTTCGCAGTCGATTCTTCCTTGCAGAGTATCGGCGACGGTTAAGGCTCTGAAAACATCTCTTCGGATACGTAAGGGCTCGATATTGATCAATTGGCAGCGATTCTCGTAGCTTGGAAGACGAAGTGGGTATCTCCAAGGCAGCTTACGGAGCGCGAAGCGAAGAAAACGTCGTTGAACAGATTCAATTCGCTCGGCCCCATTATTGTAGTTCGGGCTCCAGACAGCAGAGCAATATTCCAACGTAGATCGTACGAGAGAGCAATAGAGCGATTTCAAGCAGTAAATGTCCGTGAAGTTCTTAGTAATCTTGAAGACAAAGCCAAGCGTTCTGGACGCTTTGTCGACGACATATGATATATGGTGTGAGTATGTCAGCTTTGAGTCTAGAAAAACGCCTAAGTCTTTCACGCAGCGCACCCGTTCGATAGTCGTGCCTAGTAGTTTGTAGTTGAAAATAATCGGTTGTTTCTTGCGTGAGAAAGTAATAACTGTACACTTAGCTGGGTTGACCACCAGTCGGTTTAGACTACACCAGTCAGCAAAGATGTCAATCTGATTTTGGAGAGAACGGCAGTCGGCGAGTGAGCGGATGCGCAGAAAAACTTTCAGATCGTCTGCAAACGATAATCGTGGCTCTGTGATAACATGGTGAACGTCGTCGAAGTAGAGGAGAAATACCAATGGTCCCAGATGGCTGCCCTGAGGTATACCGGACTTTGCGCAGAAGCTTGCTGAGCGACAAGTACCCAAAGTTACTGTCAATTGGCGCTCCGTGAGGTATGAACGAAACCATCTCAAAAGATTTCCACCGATCCCTAGCCTATCAAGCTTAGCGATCGCAATTTCGTGGTTCGGCTTATCGAAGGCTGCCGTAAGATCTGTGTAGATAACGTCCGTTTGGGTCCGAGCAATCAAACTGTCTGTGATGTAAGACGTTAGGCACAGCAGGTTCGTAGTTGTGGAACGCCCAGTTATGAATCCGTGTTGATCTGTACTTACATATTGCCTTCAATGCGCATTTAGGGACTCTATGACAACCAATTCAAAAAGTTTTGATACAGCACTCAGCGATGTGATTCCCCGGTAGTTGTTTACGTCGCGTTTGCTTCCCTTTTTATGAACAGGAAACATATCCGCAGTCTTCCAGCAAGACGGAAAGATGCCGCTGGAAAGAGAGAGCTGGAATATGCGGCGCAGTGGATCTAAAAGGCAACTGATGTTCTTTTTAAGAATAATCGACGGAACACCATCGGGTCCAGCCTTAGTTGAAGTCTTAAGTTTAGATGCTGCTCTAGAAATCGTATCTGTAGTGGCTTCGACCATGCTGAGCGTTTGGTTGATCAAAGGAACATTACTGGCCGCGGAAGTAATGATATTAGCGGAGAGTTGCTCGGCTTCAAACACACTAGCAAATTTGGCTGAGAACAGGTTGCAAATGTCTTGTTGATTTCCAGCAGTTTCACCATTAAAAATCATGGAAGAGGGTAAGCCGACTTCCCTGCGTTGCTCATTTACGAAGTTCCAGAAGGATTTCGGGTGTGATTTTAGCCGCCGTTGAATCCTCCTTTGATAGCGTTGAAAACAGAGACGACTTAACCGCTTATACTCGTGGTTGAGTCTGACATAGTAGCATTTCAGTGGCAGTGTGCGGAGTTTAGTAAATCTTCTGAGAGCAGCCTTCTTAGTTCTTTTCAACGAGCGAAGATCTTTCGTCATCCACGGGACGCGAGAGTCGATATGGATGATCGTTTTGGAAACGTGTCTGTCAATGACATATGCCAAGACGTGAGAAAAGGTTTGTGCAGCAATGTTGACGTCTACAGGATCTAGAATATGCTCCCAATCAAGATTAGACAGCACATGGACGATACTGCAATGGTCAGCTCTACGGAAGTCATATGACACAGCGTTCGGAGTGCTGGTGAAATCATGGACAATATTATTTTCGATCACGATAACTAAAGCAGGGTGATGATGCACTACCTTGACTAAAGGTTCGGGTGCCGTGGAGAGGAAAGGAGCTGTATCACGAGCACTCACAAAGCAGAGATCCAGGGTGCGGTTGTTTTCATTCAACAGGCCATTGATTTGTGACAGAATTGCGGTACTATAACTGTCCAGGAGCTGGATGGTTCCTACGTGGAAAGATGAACGCTCGTGATCAGGACAAAAGAAACCACTATGGGTTGGAGTCCATGCAATGTCCGGTAGGTTAAAATCGCCAAGAACAATAACTTCGTCGGAAGGGCCTGCTTTGTCTGAAGCGGCCAAGACGGATCGACAATGTGCGTCAATAAGCTCCAAGTCACGGGTTCGATCTGGAGGAATGTACACTGCACAGAGAAGCAATTGACGATCACCAAGTTGAATAGCCACCCACATTTGTTCAACCCTGTTCCAGGAATCGTCCTCGATAACTTCTGCTTTCAGCTTGGAATTAACTGCGATAAGGACGCCTCCCCCAGTAGTTTTCCTACTATTATTCGTGTTTCGATCGCAGCGAAATATTTCGTAGCCAGCACCAAAGACATAGTTTGAAATGGTTCGATAATTGAGCCATGTTTCGGTCAAAACTAAAATGTCGTAGCAGTGATCCATGACGGCCAGATGATAATCTTCCACGAGGCCGTTCATACCACCAACGTTCTGATAGTAAATCGTTATGTCCGACCTCCGCTGTTCGGGAACAACGGAAGGTTCAGCGTGTAGTTGCATTTGGGAGCTGGTAGATGTCACTTGACGGAGGAAGGATGTTCGAGTAGGGTCGCTGGAAACCAAGATATTTTCAGGCGATAATATATTCGTCGGTTGATCATACTTGCCAATAACAGGAATGT